CTAATCGTATAACTGCTTGAGTAGGTATGCTTATTCTGCTTTCTTTATTTGTGAGGCTAAATCCATCTGCATAAAATTCCCAGCATAAATGTAAGCATTATGTAAATACACAGTTCATGCATCTGTCGTAGATAAGATTTTTATCGCATATTTACAGGGTTTGCTGGGAATATACATTTTAAAGCCACATCTGCCTCTGAAGCCTACCAGCATTTCGTCTACACACATATTTTTCCCAAACCTATATGCATCTGTTGAATTGCTTACAAATAAATCAAAGACTTCTTGAATAGCAGCAGCCGAATTACCCTTTTCTCTTTGTTCTCGGTCCGAGGCATCATCAAACCTTAAGGCGGTCATCAGGGCCAGGAAACGTTTCGTCTACATAACTGCTCTAAATATAGACCGTCCTTTCCCGCTTGTCCTGCTTATATGGGTCATAGAAGGGAAGATAGAAGGAAAACGAGGCATCGGAAGAAAGAAATACTCATGGCTTAAAAACATAAGGGATTGGACAAATCTCGATGCCCATGCACTTTTTAGATCCACACAAGATCGAGAGGAGTATTCCAGAATTGTCGCCAACATCCACTAATTGGATAGGGCAACATAAGAAGAAGTCCTTTCCCGTTCGTAGCAAACAGACTTCGTACATCTTCATGATTTGACTAATAAATAGAAGTATAAAGAAGCAGTCCCAAAAAAGCTTTTAATTCTATTTTATCAGTATCAGCCAACTCGGATTTTGTTTTATATTGTTAATATTTTGGCCGAAAAGTTGAGAGTTTTTCGTTAGTTCTCTTGATAACAAGACTATACATATCTGGTGAAAACAATTTATTAAAATAATGAACGGGACTCGTTGACTTTTCTACTTTTGAACGGATTGATGGGAGTACAACAATATTATGAGCAGGCGCACGGATGTTTCTAGTTGGCAACTTTTTAATCCACTTATACCTATTCTTTCCATAGTAATAATTGCTGGAATTGTCACACTCTCTTCATCTTCGCTAGGTATCATTTCTGAGTCTTGTTGCTGTTCATTTTCACTTAGTTCTTGTTCACTGTCCGTAAAATGATCATTTTCTATATAATATGCTTCTTCCACATCATCATCACTTATGTCACAGTTCGCCTCATTATACCTACAATTTTGTGCAAACTTCTCTTCGAAATCATCGTCTAATACTCTTACAGCTTTACGAAAACTATCCATATTAAAATAACATTAATGGTCACCCTGCGTCTAGACGCAGACGCGTTAATAAACGTGCGGAGTCTGTGAAATGCATGGTCACCAGTTAAGGGTTAAGAAATCTGTACAAATGTATAGGTACCTAAAATAGGTAATAAATTAAAATAAAAAATAAAACAACAGCACTGCCTGTCACGATCTAGATTATTTGTTTTAGTTTTGTAAATTGGTCCTTCATCGGTCTCTTCATTGACCAGACTAGAAGGAAAAAGTTCCTTCCCACGCTAAGGGGAATTTTGAGAGTTCCATTTATTGTACACGAAGTTAAGTATTTGCCAATCGCTGGTTTATCTTGGCAGATTAAAACAAACACTTATTATGCTTAGTAAGAAGCAGTTCAAAAAACTTTATTCGGTGCAATCAAGACTTTATAAATAACACACATAAACATGTATCATAGCATGACTTCTCGTTCGAAATGCAAGTGTTTCTTTTTCGAAGATTTCTCATATGTAGATTAAAACCTTATTCAGAATAGAATTTAAAATACGTGAATTAAAACTTTATATAAAACGCAATTTAAAAATGCTACAAAATCAACAAAAAGAAACTAATAGTGATTAGTAAGCAGAACATCCAAAAGATCGAAACTGGGCATATTAAAAGAGTACACCGATTCAAATATTTTAAATATTCGGTAAATATTAAATGGGAACCTAATAGAGAGGATAAAACCAGAATTAACCTAGCAAAATCTAGATTCATAAAAATGAGAAAGCTCTTCACAACTGCAACCGTTATAGTGTAATTGTACTGTAAGACACGTTCAATTCTCATTTGATTCACATATATATTTACTCCAGTTATAATTTTTACTTGATGATGAGCATTAGCTTGGTTTTGCTGGTGTTTATATCCAGTCCATATGTTCTACTTGTCTCCGTTATTTTGTTCATTATTACATTCCGTTATTCATGTTTCGTTTTGTGGTATTGGAAAGCACTATTGAACCATCTGAATACCGCAGGTTATTGAGCTTGACTCCATGTATTGAGATCCCTTCATCAATATCTTTTAGAACCTCTTTAAAAATGTGCTCCGAGTACAGATTGAATATCAGTGGTAAAATTATGCACCCCTATCTCACTCTCCTTAATATTTTAACTTTATCTGTATATTCTCCATCTATTCGCAGCACTGCTGATTGATTCCAATACAGGATAGCTATTATTTTTAGGTCTCTTCCATCAATCACTATCCTCTTCAGCATTTCCATCATTTGTTCATACCTGACTCTATCGAAAGTCTTCTTGTAATCAATCAGGCATGCAAAAACATCACAGCTGACATCTCTACATTTCTGAAACAATGCCTGAACGCTAAATAAAGCTTTCCTCGTACCAACGGCATTCACAAATTAAAACTGACTGGGCGCAATTTATTCCTCACATTTCCGGTAAATTCTTTTGTAGATGACTTTTAAAAACAGCTTCAGCATATGGCTCATTAGGCTTATGGTCCTATAGTCTCCACAAACTCCTGATTTTTTGGGCAATGGTACGAACTCCGATTTGAGCCACTCTAAAAACAAGTGCACAATACGGACTCAGACTAAATATCACAAAAACCAAACGGATGTTAGTAAGCAAAACCCAACAACCACCACAGCAACTGATATTAGACAATGAAAGAACTGAACACGTGGATTCGTACATCTACTTGGGAACAACAGTTAACTCAAATTGGGATCAAGCGAAGGAAATACGTATAAGAGTAGAAAAGGCAAAAGCATCGTTCACTAGCATGAAGCAAATTTTCACCTCTAAAAGCCTCACCTTACCTCTCAAAATTCGACTTCTGAAATGTTATGCATTCCCGGTTTTTTTTTATATGGAATGGAGGCGTGGACAATGACCGCAACATTGATGAAAAAAGTAGAGGCCTTCGAAATGTGGGCTTACCGACGTATATTACGTATATCCTGGACTGAGCATGTGACCAACGAAGAGGTACTACGCCGGATAGGTAAAGAGAGAGGTAGGAATAAGTATAAAGAAAAGAAAGTTGGAATACTTGGGTCACGTTATTCTTCTTCTTTAAGTTCCATCTTCTATCGAAGGTTGGAAATCATCATGGCTATGCGGACTCTGTTGACTGCCGCTCTAAAAAGTTCTGCACTATTGCATTCAAACCATTCCCTTAAGTTCTTAAGCCAGGATATTCTTCGTCTTCCCACATTTCGCTTTCCTCGGATTTTGCCCTGCATAATAAGTTGTAATAATGCGTATTTTTGCCCTCTCATCACATGTCCCAAGGACTCAAGTTTTCGTATTTTAATAGTTAATATTATTTCCGCCTCATTTCCTATCCTTCTAGTTACTTCCTTGTTTGACATTCTTTGAATCCATGATATTCGTAGGATTCTTCTGTAACACCAAAATTCAAAGGCGGCCAGCTTATTCAGATGAACTTGTTTTAGTGTCCAAGCTTCCAGACCATAAAGAAGAGTAGAGAACACGTAACATCGAAGCATTCTCAGGCGTAGTTCTAACCTTATATCCCGACAACAAAGAAACTTTTTAAGTTTAATAAGTGATGTACGTGCTATTTCAATACGTGTCCTAATTTCTTTGGTTTGGTCTACATCTGATGTTATCCATGTTCCTAAATATTTATAGTTATTAACATTCTCAATTGCAGTATCTTCAATAGTCAATTGGATATTTGCATGTGCAGATTTAGTCATGATCATGCATTTAGGTCACGTTATGAGACATAATAAATATAGAGTACTACAACTGATCGTTCAAGCGAAAATAGACAGCAGAAGGGTTCCAGGGAGGAGAAGACATTCGTGGCTCCAAAACTTGCGGCAATGGTTCGGATTGTCATCTGCTGAACTATTCAGATCTGCCGTAAACAGTCAGAATAGCCATGTTGATTGCCAACGTTCTGAACGGACAAGGCACATGAAGAAGAAAAAGTCCTCCCCCATTGAGTGGTAAGTTGATCTTTCCTGTAACTCACCTGTACCGATAAGAATTGACGGCATAGTTTCTAAAGTTGTTATTGGATATTGTAGTATTGTTTTATATGTGATTCATGCTGGATCAAATAAACCATTAAAAATCTCCCATGGGCTTGTAGTCTATTAACATCTGATGGCGCAATACGAAATGTTACGTACTCTCTACGCTACTTTACGGAGTAAAAGGGTGGATGTTATAAGTAGTAACTCTAAAAAAGTTAGAAGCTTTAAAAATGTCGATATAACGTAGATGTCTTTTAGTAATGATAAGTACAGTCTGATACAGCTTAATAGTTACTTTTAAAAAATAAAAATGTTGGGAGCATTATTTCTAAAAAATATATTAATTACAAAACTCACTTTAACGTATGAAAAGTATTCTTGATTTCAAAATATTTTAAAAATATAATATATTCACTCTATTAGTCTCCTCTACAATTCTGCCAAGTTATTGCCTGTTCAATTTATTTATTGCTAAATCATGAGTTATTGTTCTGATTTTCGATACCCTTGTATATCTGGCTAGTGTTTGGAATTGTTTGTTGTAAGCTTGCTTTGTTCTATGGTAGGTTTACCGCTATTTGCACAACATACTGTCATGTTATACGCTGAAGTTTCCTTTTGCGTAAAATTTGCATAGTTCAGGGATTGGTTGTAAACCCGAATATGTATGCAAACTGTACTTGATTTACTTTTCTTTAAATAACATTCACAATGTTTAGTATAATAATGTTAATCTTAAGATTACCTTACGTGTGGCAAATATGTTAAAAGAAAATATTGCTCGGAATTGTCTATTTGACTTTGATGTCTGAGGTATTGGCTGTACAATGGAACATTAGAGATCCAAGCAGGGCCTGACTGGCTCAAAAAACGGAATCCTTAACTCTAAACGGAAGGCGCCAGAACCCCTTTCTCATCTAATTAAATCTAAAATTTTTTGAAATTCTAATGCATGTAAAGGAAATCAATATTATTAGTGAAATATTTAATGTTTTTAATATCTTGTTTGAGCAACGTTTTACAATTATTAACTTCGAATCTGAATGTTATAATAATATAACGGGTTCCGGTCCAATGAATGGCATTGATGTACCTTGTTTGGCCATTTCATCTGCTTTTTCATTGCACTTATGACCCTCGTGCCCCGGTACCCAGACTATCGTAACCTTGCCATCCTAGTTTATTTAGGGCATCCTTCCTAGTTTATTTAGGGCATACACACAATCCCTTACTAGCTTAGAATTGATCTCTACAGAATTAAGTGCCTTAAATTCTGCTCGACTATCTATGAAGATGGCAACTGAATGGAACGTTATTTCCTGCCTTTCCATTTCTTCCACGCAGTGATGGATTGCCGTTATTTCCGCCTGGAAAAGTGTCACATCCTTAGATAGACTTACAGGGAAACGTATCCCTTGATTTGTTCCTACTATGCCGGCTCCCACACCCTCCGATGTTTTTGAGCCAACCTTGTACAATGTAGCAGCAGCTTATATGGGTACATCTTCATTCCAGTCTTCCCTGCCTGGTATCTTAAATGTGAACTTATTGTTAAAGCTATATCTCGTAGCTGTTGCATCGATAGGTTGTCCCATCACAATATCGGCTTTTAGCTTCTCGATTAGCTTTGTGTTGTCAGCATCATGCATCTGGCTTATATGTCGCCGACTATGGATTAATTTGTGCATTACTGATCTGACTTCGCTCTGTATAAAGATGCATATGCAGATGTAGATTACGTCTTTGTCCACCACGTCACCGAGTCATAGGTTATTATTTGTCTAATAAAGCTTGTATATAAGCCCAATTCTTACTGCACATTTTTCTAGATCTGCCCAGGGACATAGTAGCTTTCTGTGTAGTTTTCAGAATATGAGTATTTCATGTAAACCTATAATCAAAATATGTACACCCTAAGGTATTTTGTTTCTTTTACAAATGATATCTGTTCTGAGACTGATACTATCAGTCTCTCTTTGACAAAGATTGCTATATCGTCCGCATATCCTAGACAGTAACAGCTTTCTATGGACATATTTTAAAGATCATCTAGCAAGTTTGCCCAAACTAAAGGGGACAGAACTCCTCCTTGTGTCCTATTCTCCAAGGATGCCCTTATCCATCTGCATATTACCGCAGGTGCGCCTCGTCTACTCATAGCCCCTATCAAAGAGCTAGTAGTAACAGTATTAAATGCCACTTCTATATCTAAAAAAAGCGGCCATTGCTATCTCTTTGTCTTACATTGACTTACATTGAGTCCGTAGTTGGTATGCATATTGACGATTGCTTAGAGGATTATCTTTTGGCACTTCGTATCTGATGTACCTATCAAGAAGTCTTTCCAGCGTTTTTAATATAAAAGAAAATAGGATTATCGGTCTATATGACTTTGGTGTTAGGTCTGATACCTTACCTACCTTAGGCAAGTATATGGCTTTCACCTTTTGCCATATTTCCGATATGACCCCACATGCTAAACTGGCTTTGAGAAGCTTGCATAGGTTTGGTATCAATACCTCTAATTCCATATGCCACAGTGTTGGATATATTTCATCTGTCCCTGGAGACTTGTATGGTCGAAATTTATTTATAGCTCATCTAATTATGTTTGGTCTTGAGATTGCTGTGGATATTTCCAAATCTGTAAACCTTGGCCTAGTCAGCCTGTGGTCTATGTTGGTTTGTCTATCTGCATCATCCAGAATTGTTGAGCCGGGAAAGTGCGTGTTTATCAGTTTTCTAAGACTTTCCTCTTTGGTGTCCATAGATAGTGTTGATATAAAAGGCCTTTTTTGGCCTTGATTGCCGAGGAAAAAGACGACTTCTCCTTTTCTTGACAGTCTCTGATCTGATGGTGATCTGATCGTAGCCGAAGAAGACCCTGAAGTTTAATTTCTCCCTAATCTGCTTTCCTAGATAGATCGTCTATTGAGAAAGTCCAAGTATTTCCTCGTGGACCAGCCTTTTCGCAGTGGAGTACTTTCCAGTCCTATCCAGTCTGTTCAATATATTTTAGCAAACATTGAGGTAACTTTTTCCTCAGCAGTATGCAATACATATCTAAGTATTGAGCAGATGGGTTCCTCCGATCGTCTTGGGTTTTGTTAATTCCTATGAATTGACTCGTTTAGTTGCTTGAATTAGTCATTTGGACCGTGTATCATTAACACATATTATCTTAATCTATCCTAGCCGATGTAAGCAGCCTAGAATTTTACTTCTTGTCGGATCCTCGGTGGCTTGTAGGATGGCTTTCTCCAGACACCTAAGCCTAAGATGATCATTCTCTATTAGTTGTACTGACTACTCAGAATATATTGACCTGATTATTTTCTCAGGAGTTGTGGTAGAGGCTTTATTACTTTCTTTCCTGTTTAACTGTTGATCGACCCCTGTGTAACAGTTGTCGCACACATCAAGGAACCGGTAACCCCTTCGCCCCCGTGAAGCCGCCGTGTGTTTGGCCTACGACGCTGACCTTCGACCGACAACTAGTTTTCAGCATTCGAGATTCGACAGTCAACTTGAAATAAAGACTTGTATACATTTTTGAGTGCAATTGTAAATTCAGTTTTTATACTTTATAACGTTTTATCTATTCAATTAAAATTTTGGAATAATAATTATATGTATAATAATTCATAAACTTTCCCTTTCCCTTTTAGAGATTTCTTTGTTTGTAAAACCTTTTCTAGAGCTTTCTCATAGGCTGTTCTTGTTGTCAGAAGCCATTGTACTGAGACTTTTTACCGTAAGTTTATCTTAAAGTAATTCCAAGACTGTTCTAATTATTTGGAGATATATTTTTCAGGAATGGCCATGCACCCTTCAGCATTGTATTTCACACCAGTTTGTCCTGGGGATGTAAATAATATACCTAGTGGGATGGAGAATGAAGTATGGATGACTATTTTCTTGGTTGTACTCGGAGTGTAGGATAGATAGATCTATTATATATTTTTGGGTTAAGTTGACTATACGTTGGCGATAGTAGTGAAGACCAGTCTGTCTTCTATTTGTATTTCCGCCAGGGGTAATGATACAACCAGATAGAAAAAAGGGGTAGGTGAGACGGTATTGCAGAGCAGCTGAGATTAGCTCCCCTCACAACAGCACGACTGCTTCTCCGTTCAGTGGCCTTTTACGTCAAGAAGGTGGATAACTTTCTGGATAGTCTTCTTGAATTACCAGTGCTTCACATGGAGACTAGAAAGTAGAGTATTTGTGCAGTTTGATGACTCTAATTTGTATTCGTAAATTCATATTGCTTGGACTCTAAAAATATTTGTCGATTATGTATACCATCAGAATGAAAACATAAATATTTAAATGTGTATTCGTTCATATGTAGATCAAATCCTCAAGTAAAACTTGATGAAAGTTTAAGTAAATATCGGAACATACTGGTACTCTTCTAGAAATTGAGTAAATTGTGCACAATTTTTAATTTTATATAATATCATGCTTTATTTATGATATAGCATCATAAAATTACATAATTATCGTACGCCATTGTCTAAAATAAATGCCAGGCTTAGTTGTTAATAAAAAGTAATATTTCAATAACCGCCCGAACTGAGCCGTAGGTATTCGCATTTTCACAATCTGATAACAGTTTCTCCACGAGCTATGATGCTGGTTGTGCTATTGTAGTAATTAATTTATGTTGCTATTCCGAGTGAAGATATTTCATGTGTGCGTGATATTTCCCTCCAGTAAGATTCAACCCCGCGGCTTTCTCCTCTATCCCTGCCCCAAATCACGCCATAACGCAGTGACGGATTGTGACAACTTTTCAAGTAGAGGGAGATGCTGCATAGAAATGTTTTAAACATTACAATCTTATGATAAGTAAAACATATGTCATATGTTTTGTTATGTTTCCGAAAAATCCATTTAAGAGGTAATTAGTCATTTCAAGACTTGTGGTCCACTCTGTACATATTAATATATACAGTATAGCCCAAAATAAACAGTACTGAACTTGTAATTATTATATTGATTTGAAAAATACATATTATTGACACAGCTTCTCCTCTCTCAAGACAGATTTCATACCGATATTCCAGATTTCTCGTAATATTAGATATGGAATAAAGGTCCGCGAAGAACGGAAGTTTTAGCCATGCCCAAAATGTATGCGTCTGGAGATGTAAAGTCTGGAGAATGTGCAGGATAGGGGAAGTCAGTAAATCGTGAAATAAATTTGTTTGGGCAATGTGCCTGAAGAAACTGACGAACTGCGACAGCAATATGGCAAGTTGCCCCATCCTGCTGGAAAAATTGGTCTTGAAATGCCAAATTACGTGCACGACAAAATTGAGGTAGATCAGGGATAAAGCGTGTTAAAATTTGTATGTATCTCTGTTAAATCTGGTTTGGGAAAGCCCAGAAATCGATTTGTGCGACGATTTACATGGCCTGATTAATGAAAATGTGCTTCGTCTGAAAACCATACATTTTTCAAAAATTCAAGATTTTCATACTGTAATGCAAGAATTCTGGGACAATATTCCACTCTACTTTGATAATCTTCTTCTTCTTCTTCTTTTGTTATTCCATCGTTTACGTGGTCTTTCTACTGATCGTCTTCCTATTGGGGACCGTCTATTGGCATCTTTACTACTCTATTTGTTGTCATTCGGCTTATATGATCGTTCCATTGTGCTCTTCTATTTCTTACCAAGTTTTTTATGTTCTCCACCTTGCATCTAAGATATGAGCTGCTGAGAATTATTATGCAAGGAAGGATCCAAGGAAGAAGAAGCATAGGAAGAAGATGCATCTCCTGGCTGAGGAACCTTAGAGAATGGTTTAACTGTAGTTCACTACAATTTTAAGAGCAGAAGCCAACAAAGTGGCCATAGCCGTTATGATATCCAACCTCCGATAAAAGATGGAACTTTAAGAAGAAGACCTTTCATCTATGTCGTATATATGTACTTCTAGCTCTGTTCCATAGTGCCTTACCATCAATTTTTCTAAGTGTTTTCATCTCTGCTGTTTCTAACATCCTTTTTATCCTCTCTGTGTTAGGTCTTGTTTCTGCAGCGTATGTCATTATTGGTATGATGATTGTTTTGTAAATTTTGCCTTTCGTTTCTTTCCCCATATTTTTATTTCGCCATATTGTTTCATTTAGGCAACCTGCGGCTCTGTTTGCTCTATTCACGTAGCTAGATAATGTGATGCTAGATATTTAAACTCCATCTTTTGTTCTATTATCTGAGCTTCCAGCTCCAATTTACATCTTAGTAAATTTTCTGTTGTAAATTTTGTCTTTGTTGGGAAAATTAACATGTTAAATTTTCTGGCGGTTATTAAATTGGTGCAGACGTTGTAAATGATCTTCACTTTGAAAGAGTAGTATTGTGTCGTCTGCATAGCAGATTATTTTAAGTTGTTTTTCTCCCATTTGGTATCTTTTTTTATTATTTCATCCATCTTCTTCTTAAGGTTCCATCTTCTAACGAAGGTTGGATATCAACATGGCAATTCTTACTTTACTTACAGCAGCTCTAAATAGTTGGCTAGAGCTCAGACTAAACCATTCCCTTAGATTTCGTAGCCAGGAGGTTCGTCTTCTTCCTACATCTCTTTTACCTTTTATTTTGCCCTCTATAATCAAACGTAGTAGCCCATAACGAGGACCTCTTAATATATGACCGAAATATTCAAGTTTCCGCCTCTTAATTGTCTGTACAATTTCTTCCCTCTTATTAACCCTTTTATTTCATCCATAATCAGGTTGAACAATAGAGGACTCAAGGAATCTCCCTCTCTTATTCTATTGTCAGCTTCAATAGGGTCGGTTAGTTCTTTTTCTACTTTTACTTTTATTGTGTTGTTTTAGTAGATATTTTTGATCATTTTGATTATTCCTAGATCAATTTGACCCGGTCAAATGCCTTTGTAAGGTTCATGAAACATAGATATGCGGGTTTGTTGTATTCTAATGATTTCTCTTGTACTTGCCTCATTATAAATATAGCGTCGGTGCATGATCTTCCTGACCTAAAACCCTGTTGTTCTTCTGCTAGTGTCATAATTTCATTCAATTTATTTGTTATCACTTTGGTTGTTAATTTTAGTGTTGTATTTAATAAATTAATTCCTCTGTGATTTTCCGAGTCCGATTTGTCTCCCTTTTTGAAGAGAGTTATTAGGATGCTTGATCTCCATTCTTGAGAAATTCTGCTTTGTTCTATTATTTTTTGAATTAGTTTTAATAGCTGTTTGGTCAGATCTGGTCCTCCGTACTATAGGAGTTCGTTCGTATTCTGTCCTCTACTGGTGATTTTCTATTTTTTAATTTCCTTAATGCTTCCTGTACCTCTTTCTCCTCAATATTTATTTCTTCGTTTGTCGTCACCTTTGGTCTTGGCGGTTCATCATCGTCACCTTTAGCAAACGGGGATTGAAAGGAGTCTACCCATGTTTCCTTCTGAATGTGTTTCGTTTTTATTAGTTCGTTCATCTCTTTTCTTTGTCCTCTGATCATTCTCCATATTTCTTTTTGTGTTCCGTAGAAATCGTGTTCCATCTGTTTTAAAGTCTGCCAGTGTTCCTTTTTATTGTTTGTGTTCTGTATTGTAAAAAGGCTTTCTTCTTTTCTTCACATTTTGTCTTCACTTCCTCTCTAAACCATGGTGTTTTCTTTTTTAATATATTAGTGTTCGTTACTTTCCTCTCTCCAAGTGATTCTGTTGCTGCGTTAACTAAATTATTTTTTTTCCCAGCTTTCCTCGATGATATCGTTTTCTAATATTTCATTCTCAGCGATCTTCTCTGATATTCTTTTACTGTATAAGTATAAGTATTCCGTCAATTCCGTATTAGTCCTTCGACTTTTTTGGATTTCTTAGATTTTTGTTTGTGTTGGCGCCGCTCTCTTGAGTGGGAAGTATTTCAGGAATATTTATATTTTACTTAATACTAAGCTATGGTCGCTACCTAGATCTGCTGAGTTGAGGCATCTTACGTCAAGTTAATCATCAGTTTTCCATTTTCGTTTTTAAGATTTTCGTTATGGTTTTGTTTAATCTTTCCACTGACTTGATCTACTACTGGTTGTAATTGGTCGTAGAACGCTTCTCTTGTTGTTTGAGGCTTATTATTACAGCCTAGGGTGATTGCGGGGTGGAGTGAGTAGCTCTGTGGTTACCACAGCCGGTCTTAAGTCCGGATAAAATGTGGATGTGGTGATTGGCAAGGTTAGCAACCTACCAATCGTAAAAACAAATACTGCTTAAAGAAACAATGTACCATGATAATCCCTGGGATGTAATTGTTGATGTACCTGAATCACATACGAAAATAATTCCAGCTCCTTCAGGATTCTTTGCAAGGAAATTTGTTTTAAGCCAAAATGCAATGCTCTTCTTGTCTGTCTGGCTTTTAGATTTGTTCAAAAACAAGCTCATGGTTATCGTTGTTTTTAACTGTCCTGGGACGCCTTGAGTTTCCTTTTCGTTGACACAATACATTCCCGTATTTCTAAATTTTTTAACAACTTTCAAAATTACAGCATTACTTGGACAACGTTTATTAAACCGTTGTGTGATTTGATCATACACGTATTGCAGACTTGCACTATTACATCGGCCGATTCCGTATGAGCGAAAATAATGCTCCACAAGAAAGACTTTCTCCTCTGTACTTAACACCATTTTTAACAATTAGGCCTTAATAATTAATTGTTTAAGGATTACTTGGCAGGTCTGTACTATGTTTTGTTTTTTAACCAGGAGGAGTAATTCAAATTTACCGCGCCCTAATGCTTGTTTGTAATTGGTCCAACCGCAGGCAAGTTTATTCCACTAAATTATGACATTTTAACACTAATGACATTTATGAAATTTTAAAATTCAAAATTAATATCGAGGATTTTTTGTATTTTCTGTGTTATTCCGTCAATTTTTAGATTTTTCGTTTGCATTTATATAAAAAACCGTTTTAGCGACATATTAGTGGTATTATGATAGCAATATGAATTTAATGTCAAGTACTAGTGGTAATTATTCTGCTCCACCTAAAAACGCATTTTTTTTGGGTAGAAAAATGTGAGTAGATTTCTGTAATTTATCATCAAATGAAAAACAATTCATTATAAATATGTACAAACAAAGACAAATTGATAATCCTGAAATGAAACTAACAGTCATGGTAACAAAAATAAAATAGGCAGCAGGTTAGTTTTGCAGAATAGTTATTGTTAAAATCAAGACTTACTAAAGTAATCTGCTAATTTTACGTGTTTTTAACTATTGACAGAACAATTAAGGAATATAAGCAGACTGGAACAGTAAGAACAGAATAGCAGTAAGATGTCCTAAAAATTTTGGCGGTCGACCTTATATCCTTGCAAAATACGATGAAAAGTTAAAACATTGTACGACAGATAGTACACAGCTCCTTTTCACGAATAAAATGCTTACATTAAATAAAATTTTAAGTTAAATAAAATACATGTATATATATTCTTCTACAATCTGATAAATTAACTCTAAAAATTCTCCAACTTCTTCATAACAATCCAACATTTTTTATTGCAATTAGAAAAACAAAAAAATATATATATTGGAAGGTAATTAAAAAAATATTATTCAAACATAAACAATCAAATTCAGGTTAGAATCTAGGTGTGGTGAGGTTGTCTAATACTTATTACTGGATTACCACAAGGCTGAGATAATCAACCAAATAAGAAGATGTATTTGGTGACTTTTCTAGTAACTTTCTTGGGTGTGAATTTGTCTGTTTAGTTTACTCCTCCTGGTTAAAAAACAAACCATAGTTAATTTGAATATGACAGCGCGCACAAAGAGACATCTATGTTTCAGTTTCAGTACTGGTTATTTTGGGCAATACTGTATTATTCCTTAATTGTGATAGTTACAAAACATTGTTACTGTTGTTAAGATAGTTATATAATAACATACAATAATTTAATTTATATTTGTTTGCAGTTAAAAGCTATTGTTCGATAATTCAATGTATATTTACGCTGATAAATGCCTCTTCGTCATTTGTCGTGGGTACAAATTTCCATTTTTCTCTTTTTATTCAAATATAATCTAATCATTAGCCTGAATTAGTGTTCAATCAGCATTTATTGATAGATACGTTTGTACCGCAGGCCTTAATAAATGTAAATGAAAAGCATCTGATGAACAAATTGTTTTGAATGAATTAAATTCGATGCCGATAATTTGAGAAATAAATTTATACCGTAGTTCGCTGTTTATACATACAAAGTGGTAAATTTTTTTTTTACAAAAAAAAACTTATATTATTGACAATGAATTGTCTTTAATAATAGATTTGTAGTTATCTAAAGTTAACAATAATGAATACAAGTTGCTCAAATTGTTGGCATCTGTCTTTTTATTAAGAGTTGCTAATAAGTGTCATTTCGAGAGAGTCGTTTTGAATAATTAGTCTCTGTGAATAGGATTTTTATGTATATTACAGGATCCAACTTGTAAATACAATATATTTTGGAGACGGCAATCGCCGTATTCCCTTTCTTCTTCGCCAATTCTCCCGGTCCAAGGCATGCTCCTCCTCCAAACCTCTCGATTCCATCGCTTTTTTAATTCCTTCATTTCATGAGCGTCGAGGTCTATCTCTTTTTCTTCTTCCAGTGGGCTTCCATCTGTCATTCATGTTATTTCTTATAGATATGTTGGTCTTCCTTTCCAGCCTTGATGTTCTAGTACTTCTCAAATAATCCATTTCAACTGCGATCAATCTTCTCTTCAGGTCTGCATTAATTGTCCATAATTCAGAGCCATAATAAAGAACTGATTCAACCATGGTTTGCCCTATTCTTATTTTGTTCCTCTTGGAAATGTTTCGATCTCACCATAAGGAGTTCAGACATCATTCAATTTTACGTCCCTGATTAATTCGGTGTTTCATTTCAATTTCTCCCAAGCTGTTCTTATCAATGAGTGCACCTAAATATTTAAATTTTTCCACTTGTTTGATTTCCACGTCCTCGTCTATCAACACTTCAAACCTTGCATCTGAATTGGTAATTAAATATTCTCAATATAAGGTTGAATGTTCGAATAATTAAACTTTGAGTGTATACAAGGCAACCATCGAACACGGTGATTAATACTCAAATTAATTTAAATTGTACTAAATTTAATCCTATATTTAAAAACTTTATTACAGCTTCACCTCGTGGAGGACCCAGCTCGACTGTTTAGACTTCATGCACTGAGCATTTCAATATTAATTTTAAAGTTCTTCCATTGACTGTGGATTCAGCTGAACTACTTGGATTATAACATAACTCATTTATATATTTTGTCTTTAACTTTGATTTTAACTTTTAGTAATTTAACTGCATATTCAGATTTTCTTTTTTACAGTACTGATAGCGCTTGGTGGACCATTTTAGTGTAGTCAACCATCCACTGTCTAATATATTGTTAGTCTTTTCTTACATTCATACTTTATGTCAACTTCAATTGCTCTCAAACTAACATCCTAATTATTATAGACAGGTTTGAGTGTGAGATTGGGATTATTCAATCTACATAAAAAATATACTATATAATTTTATATTTCATCAGTGGATTTCCTATAGTGGTGTCAGTTGGACCTTTGGTCAATACTTAGTTTCATAGAATTTTGAAAGGTGCAGATCACATAACTGCCCTTCACAAGCTGTCATTTGTCACATGTCATCTCAATATTTCCGTCAGACCGGGAGCCCATTCTGTCTCCGGCTTCTATACAACATGTAGCTTCTCCCTTAAAATTTTAAAGTGTTTGTTTGTCTTTGTGTATTGTATTTTGTATTGTTATGTTCAAATTTTTACATTTATGACATTCTACTCATGTCAGGATAGCCACAATTGACGAAGTAAGCCTATAAACGTTTATCACATATAAAAATTTTTTCAACCATAAACTTGGAGTTTTTTATCCAAGTGAATTAATTTTCCTTTTTTTATAAAAAACGTTTCTTGGCTTATTTCAGATGCCTCTGAAGATGATCTTTTGATCAAAAGTACTTGGGCAAGATTAAATTAATCACCGTGTTCGATAGTTGCCTTGTATACCCTCAAAGATTAAATATTCTGTTTTCTTCATGCTGACTCGTAACTCCCATTTTACATATTATCTGTATAGACGCTTTATCATAAATTCTAGATCATAAGAATCTTAAGCTTGGCCATCCGCAAAGTTCAGGGAGAACAGTACGTCATTTCCTATGCGGATTCCCATTTTCTGGCAGTGGTTTTTCCAATTTTGGAGGGCTACCTCAATATATAAATTAAACAGTAAGGGTGACATACTGCATCCTTGTCTTAGTCCTTTAGATACTTTTATTGGCTCTGATAGTCTATTTCCGATTTTAGGTAAGTAGTGTTATCCCTATATTATACTTCTATGATTATTCCTAAAGATACTGACTAATGCCGAATTGTTGTAAAGCTTGCCACAATTTAAGTCTTGGAACTGTATCATACGCCTTTTCTAGGTCGATGAAGGCTAGATGTACTTCGGTACCAACCGCTATTCTTTTTTCTATTAATTGTTGGAGTATAAACAAGTTATCAGTGCAAGATCTACCAGGCGTAAACCCACTTTGGTCTACGCTAATTAGATGTCCTACACCATCTTGTATTTTTCCATTTATTATCTTTCCAAACAATCTCTCGAAAGTAGGTAAGACACCTAATCCTCTGTAGCAGTTAGGATATTTTCGATTACCCTTTTTAAAGATGGACACTTGGTGAGCGGTTTTTCATTAAGATAGTACTTTAATTTGTTGGCAGAATTGATTCATTAGAAGAGTTATTCGTTCTATTAGGAGTGAAGTAACTCTACAGCTATATTGCCAGGTCCTGGAGATCGCTCGTTTTTGAGCGGATTGAATATCTTCCTGATTAGTATCGAGTTTGATAGTGTCGCAGACGGTTGTTATAATTTCCAATTCTAAGACCATATTTTGTCGCTTGGTTCGTAATTTTTACGAAAGTCTCGTATTTACATCAGATAATAAATCAGCTGGTTCTTATTGTTTGTATTTGGATTTTGAGTGTTTTAGTAACAAAAAATTAAAGTAAATTGTTTTTTCATTCTCATTACATTATATACTGTTTGAGTTTTTCTTATTAGGATGTCAAATAAAAAGTTTTTGTCCGCAAAAGAACTGGAGGAGGAAGCGGCACGTATTATGAATGGGAAAGACAGTGAACCAGACCCGTTTGAAGGTCGTGGTAATGCCTGGGAAGAGGACAATTTGGAAGCTGAATCCTCTGTCTCCAATAGCGAGGTTGATGCGACAATATCTCCAGATATCAATATATGACTGAGTTAAGCATTTGTCTTGCAAAACCATGGATGCTAAACAGATACAACATTGCAAGTTTACGTCGAAATATTCGCCAAGATATAGCTGAAATCCTCAACATAACTAAAGGAGATGATAAAAATATGGCCCAGGAAAAGAAGAGAAAGACTTGTTTCTACTGTCCAAGCAAAAAAAGGCCCAACGATTGCAAGGGGTGCAAGAAGCCAATTTGCGGAGAACACCGAGGAGATATGTGTACCGTATGTTTCTAAAAATACTCAAATATGTTTGTTTCATAATTTTATGCTTTTGTAAGATATACTAAGAATCTTAATTGTTTTCTATATAATAAATAAAAAAAGGGTAACTCCATGGAAAAAAATATAGGCTTTTTTCCATGGAGTAGTAAAATTTACGATAGTCCCATATTTACGTTTGGCAAAAACGGTCCCGTATTCTAGGGTTAAAAGACGAAAGACAGCACATTTGGGGGCACATACTTAGAAATGATGAGTACAAGTTGTTGCAATTAATTATGAAGGGTAAAATTGAAGGTAAAAGGGGTCCTGGTAGACGAAAAATATCCTGGCTGAAAAACAATCGCGACTGGACCGGGTTAAACATACAGACGCTCTTAAGAAAAGCAGAAGATAGAGACGAATTTGCAATGGTTATAGCCAACCTTCATTAGTGAAGACGACACTAAGCACTAAGTGATACAAAAGAGATTTTAGAAATATTGTTAGTCAGTGATTGGGAATCGGACCTAACTTTCATAGCACCTCTATATTGGGCAGGGTTCTCTTGTTTGTTAAGTATAACAGAGGATGTGTTGAAGATAATTTTGCTGTTGAAGATAATTTTGCGTTTGTTTCAGTAAGAATATTAGTTGTTGTATCATCTTTTTCTATACCAATTATTTGCAATGATGTTATTTAGTTCTCAACATTCACCAATGGACGGGAATCCATAGATAAAAATTTAATCCTGGCTGGGACAAGAGAGGTCCTAAAACACTTATCCAAAGTAATCAATCAAAGCCAAATTCTTAAAATAGGAGATTAACAAACAATAATGGACTGACTGCAATAGGTGATGAAAAGTTTCCGAATTAAAATCGTGTAAAAATTTATTGAGTAAAACAAAAACGTCGTACTTTTAAAAGTTGATATGAGGAGCAGACTGTCATATCGCACTTTGTCCATTTTTAAAATTTTTCAGGAAATGAGAAAAACTGCTACTGGATTATTAATAAAGTTAAAAATAAAACACAAAATATGAAAAAATGTAATTTTTTATTATCAACTTACCCTATTTATAAGAAACAACAAGCTTTATTAGTTTTTTCAAAAAAAAATTTTAATGATGGACAAACGCTATTTGATTGTCTTTGAAGGACAAAATGTGGTTTCATTTTCCCTAAGTGATTAAAATCAAAATATGAACTGAAAATTTGTGTTTGTAAAGCAATATCTGTAGTAAAAAAAAAATCATATGACATGTATGTCGTCCTCCAGAAGACAGCAGCATTCTTCTCCATCTTCACATTGATCGCAGGTCTGGTCCTTTTCAATTACATTTTCACCATACTGATCCTTCAAAATTGGATCTAACCAAGTTAATTCTGGATCTAATGCCCATTCTTTGCCTGATAGACTAACTAAAAATTTTGATAAGCTATCCAGTTTTTTCTTCTTAACAGCATACTTCGTTGGCAATTCCGGCAGTACTATGTCACTTAGTTTTTTCTTTGATTGAATTAAACTTGAAAACTTTTTAGAATTGTCATCATTTCTGTATAAAACCTCTGTTTTATACAAGATTTTACTTTCCCCAGCAGTTTGTTTTTCCTCGAGTTATGATTATTCTTTTGGCTTCACTGATACCTATAACTTTTTTGAGTGAAAGTGCTGCATGTTTTATGTCATACAAAGTCCAATCAGATCCCAGCTTGCGCAGTTTGTCCTTTCTTAGAATAGATTTCATAATATTTTTCTGGTGACTTTATAAAAGCATGGGCACGTAAGTCTAGCTCAACTTGACCAAAAACTCGATCAGCTGGCATAAACGAATGGCCACGAACGGGAAATGTCATCGTAAGTGTTTGAATAGTTTTTGGGGCATTATTCAAATGCCACAAGGTGAGTGCATGTACCATGTCAGAATTTTTATTTTGACCCCTGTCATATCAGTAGGTTATGATTACGGTCACGGGGCTCTAGCACAATGTAGGGAAACTCGTTGTCAGTTGTCAGGACTTGTCAAGACGATTGTTAGAGATAGGTTTTTGGACATTGTTGATTCCTAGAGACTTTGTTAATAAGTATGTTTAAATAAATGTATTAAACACAATGAAATATTATTACTTGGCGCAGTCTAGTGGAAATTAATCGAAAATCATGGAAGCAAGGTTACCAAATCCATTATCATTTGAAGGCAATGTGGCCGAAAATTTTAAAAGATTTAAGCAAAGTTTTGAAATATATCTGATGGCATCAGGAAAAAGTGGTAAAAGTGATGAAGTTAAAGTAGCAATTTTACTCAATTTAATTGGAGAAGAAGGCATTGAGATTTATAACAGTTTGGAATTAACAGAGGTCCAACAAGGAAAGCTAGCAGATGTATTGGAAGCATTTGAGTCTTATGTTACTCCTAGAAAAAACGTGGTTTATGAAAGATATTTGTTTTATAAGCGCAGTCAAGAAGAAGGAGAGCCTTTTGACCACTTTTTAACAGATTTAAAAAATAAAGTAAGAAATTGTGAGTTTGGTGTTGAAGCATTTTCAATGGTAAGAGATAGAATAGTATTAGGCACCAATAGTAAGGATGCACAACAAAGCATGTTAAAAACAATTAATTTAGATCTGACCATAAGCCTTTGGAGGCATTAATGCATAAAGGCATTGCGGACATAATGTCACCAAGATTACAAAGGATTAGGGTAAGATTATCTAAATATGACATAGAGGTAAAATTTAAGCCAGGCAAGTTCATGCATGTGGCAGATTTATTATCGAGGAATTTTATAAAAGATGAAGTGGATGATGATAAATTTATTACAGAAATAGTTCATACTATTGACATGACTGATGAGAAGAGAGAGCAATTTAGGACTGAAGTGGATGCTGATGAGGATCTGAAACTAGTAAAGAAATATTGTATACAAGGGTGGCCCAAAACCCTGTCAAGAGTAAGTGATTCAATTAGGTATTATTATTATATAAGAAATGAACTATATTTACTTGACGGACTAATATTTTACAAAGACAGAGTTGTAGTCCCAAAAATATTGAGAGAGAGCATGCTAAGATTATTGCATTCTAGTTATTTTGGCATTCAGAAAACCCAACAGAGAGCAAGACAGATATTACATTGGCCACAAATGAACAAAAGTATAGAAGACTGGGTAAGAAATTGTAGCAAGTGTGAGATATTTAAAAGTCACAATGCTAAAGAGCCACTATTACTTAGAGAGTTGCCTCAAGCACCTTTTGAAAAGGTAGCAAGTGATATATTAGATTATGGTGGACAGTCATATCTAGTTCTGATCGATTATTTTTCTAAATGGCTCGATATAGTGAAAATTAATTCAAAAACTTCTCAAGTGGTCATCAAGGAGTTAAAGAAAATTTTTTCAACACACGGAATACCTTATGAAGTCATATCAGATAACATGCCTTATAATTCGTGGCATTGTCAGCAATTTGCTAAAGACTGGGATTTTCGGTTTGTAACGTCCAGTCCCCGCTATCCACGGTCTAATGGGCAGGCAGAACGAGCCGTTCAAATTGCAAAAAACATGCTTAGAAAGTGTGACGACTTAGACATGGCACTCCTGGAGTATCGCAATACTCCGATAAATGGAACAGATAAAACACCGGCCCAATTAGTAACTAACAGGGTTCTTAGATCGAAGCTACCATCAAATAAAAAGCACAAAGACATAAATCTAAAGGATGAGTGGGAGAAACTAGAGGCGAAAAGAAACGAATATAAAAATTATTATGATAGAAACACCAAGGTAAGAAGAGAAATAGTGCCAGGAGAGAATGTAGGTGTCCGAGAGGGTAGAGAATGGAGACCAGGAAAAGTTCTGGAAAAAGTGGATGAGGCACCCAGATCTTATTTAGTGCAGAAAGAAAATGGGGAAGTCATCAGGCGAAACAGTTATCACTTAAGGCCTTCCCTAGTTAAAGCGGAAATTAAGAAGAATACTGATTTTGCACATAATGATAGATCATTAAACTCCTCATCTGGGAATCAGAGTTGTGGAGTAGAGGAACCTTCAACCTCTCAAATGAATGCTGAAAACAGAACTAGCGCTAGACTCAAAAGGGCTCCAGTGCGTTTTAAGGATTATCAAATGTAAGGGGAAAGATGTCATATCAGTAGGTTATGATTACGGTCACGGGGCTCTAGGCACAATGTAGGGAAACTCGTTGTCAGTTGTCAGGACTTGTCAAGACGATTGTTAGAGATAGGTTTTTGGACATTGTTGATTCCTAGAGACTTTGTTAATAAGTATGTTTAAATAAATGTATTAAACACAATGAAATATTATTACTACCCCCACATCCGTCCGAAAACAATCTTAAATGTTTAATATCTGGGTCAAAATCAGTCTTTTTTAGAAAGTCAGTCAACGCAGAACTTATTTCTACCACACCTGTTCCTGCTTCATGCTCAAGCCATGTATAAAAAACAGGAGTTTTTGTTAAAATATCTGTCACACAAAATGCATAAAAATCCAGTTGCTGAGAATAGAATGCTTCAAACATCAGTAGCTGGACTTCCAAAGGCTAAAACAAACGGGCAACTTAGTAAAAAATAAAAAACATTTTTTTAATAATATCTACCTATATTAAACTTATTGCTGAAAATTCGACTAAAGTACTTGTAGTTTGTTTTGAGTGAATTATCTGGAATCTGATCATTATACATCTCCCACAGCTTTTTTATGTTTAACTCAGATGACAAATAGATTCTTCTTGACTTGCCTACCATAGTGCTTTCATGGCCCTTCAAAGACGAAATAAATTTCATGACACTTTCTAATTTAAGCGCATTTTTCTTGGACTTTCTGTCTCCACCACGATTGTCTTTTATACTAGTGCCAAGCATGTTTTTTCTCACTATCGTATGAATTCTTCTTGGACCACAATTAAAAATAGAGAAAAAATAATGTTTGGCAAACAAAGATTTTCTTGCTATTATGCCAAACCTAAAAAAATACTCAATCAGAGACCTTACAAAGTGTAATCGAAAAATAAATATGTACTGATGCTAAAGCTTGGTTTATTTAAATAAAAACTTACATAAAATTCTGTGTGAAAATCATGTGATTTACCATTCTTTCTCTTCCTTTGCCTTTTTATTTCCTTAATATTCATCATCTGTGCTAATTTGTTATCCTGAGCATTTTTGTTCTTTTCTTCATTATCATAGAAATTTTGTTTAATAAGTTTTATGTCGGCCAACAAAAGAACTGTACATGCAAATGTTTTTGATTTGTGAACACAATTATTTTTAAAATTCAATAACTCGGGATCTAAATCTGAATATCTAAAAGAAAACAAATTAAACCACAAAAACACAACATAACCTGTAGTTTACCTTATTTCTCTCTTACGTTCTTTTGCCGTAGTATTTATTTTTCTTTTTCTCATTCCTCTATTTGTATCACCTACAATATGCTCACCTTCACTCATTTTAATACTATTATCACCTATTATTATTATTATAAAAACAACCTATTAAGCACGAATAATATCAGATACTGTTGATTCCTAAATCAACGTCTCAGAGCAAAATAAAGTCGTTAATTAGTAAAAAAGCAATGCAAGCAAAATAGCGCTATTTGTTTGTCTCTCGCTACTGGATAAAATGCGTTTTGTTTGTCTAAGTGATTTTTGAAGCCAAAAATATACGTGAAATATTACGTTTAGAATATCTAGGAGTATGTAAATTAATAAATGATGTTTAGACTAATCCAACGCCACCTCTAAGTCAAAAAGTGAAAATATGGACAAAGTGTGATTATATCACACTATATATATATATAATATATAATATATATAATATATATATATATATAAATATATATATATATATATAGCTCCTCATATATCGTTTCTCACGTATTTACCTTATGTAGTTCCATATTTTTTCCTTATGAAAAGTACGTATAGCTGCCTTATGCGTTTTACCAAACTCAAAGTTTTGTACATTATTGCAGATCATCCATGTTCGTTTCTTTGTTATCAACCCCTTGATCTTAACCTCAACGATTCAGCTTAACCTACCACCTCTCTTGAATGCCTCCCTAAAGGCATTTTCATCAATCACAAAATACAGATCCGGCTTTCTACGTGCCGCCAAACGAGAGAATGTATTGAATATGCTGATGTTAACAATGTTTTATGATGGTTGGAGCAGTGTCTATAATTACTAATTATTTATTATACCGGAAGTTGCGAGTAACAGTTAAAAGTGGTATCAGTATTTGAAGACTATTTGAAGACTAAATTTAAATACTATTTATTATACAGTAACACATGTTCAAAAAAATTCAAAATAAATATCTTTTCTTTTAAGCCACTAACAAGTGGAAAAATTTTTTCGCCACCTGTCTTTAGGCATTCTTAGAAAGTGAAGAAACCGCATTGTACGCAATTATATTAAGCAGGAACGAAACTTAAATACAACACTTTACATTAGAGGTGTGCTTACTAGTTCGTTTAGACGAACTAGTTCAAGAGAACTATTTCACAAAAATGAACTAGTTCAGTGAACTAGTTCGCGAAAGAACTATTTGTAGGACCGAAATCGAAATCCAACGCTATCATAACTGGTTGCCTTGCCAGATGTTTCGTCCCAATCATGACACAAACTCGTCCGTTTTCTTCGGTTTTCGGTCAGTCTTTCACTACCGTACAAGTAGTTCGGATTCGGAACCGTTTCTTTCGATCGTATGTTTAGGTTTAAATGTTTTAAATTATTATATAATTAGTTAGTTTTTCTTTATAATAATTTATTATAAAGAGTAACAGACGAAATAAAAGTTTTTTATGGAATCAAAAAGATAAAAATAGAGAAAAACGATAAAAATAAAAAAATCTGTAAAATGTAATTGTTCATGTGATATTAGTATTGCAAGTGGTTCACTGGGCAATTTAACAAGACATTTAAGAATGAAACACTCTGTTATCAATCTCAAATATCTCAATGTTGAAAAATACATAGAAAAAGGACCCGAAAAATCAGAAAATACTTTTCAAGAACCTCAACCTTCAACATCAAAATCAGTTTCGCTAGTAGAACAAACAGGAAAAGATAAAGAGAAAGCAGTTATAATTCTTATGAAAAAGCCTGCTCCTACTCCCCTTGTTTCTATCAGGGATTATGTAATTCAAACTGTTTCATTCGAAATATATAATCTCATTCATTCATTATTTTTTTCTTTAGAAGTTGAGACACAACTTATACTGCAAATCGTTCACAGTGAACTAGTTCTATGAAAATTGATGAACTAGTTCAATTAGTTCATTTGAAAGAATCGTTCATTTGAACTATTTTGATGGTGAACTACACATCTCTACTTTACATAGTTTGTACTTTTGATATTGCCAATTTAAACGTTATTGGCCGTTTTTTGATCGTTAAAAAATTATTAGGTAAAAATTATTTTAGATTTCACATTTCACATTTAGATTTCAATTATTTTAGAATCACAAATGTGAAGAAACTGAACAGATGCCATTTTGTTTGTGAAATATACTCTGAAATATGAAAGCACTGTATATACTAAACGTCCTCTTAAAATATGTTTTAATCAGAGAAAACATCTACGTTTACTTTTATATGTGGGAATTTTATTGCCAAAACAGGAATGAAATCCAACCCTACAGAAACACCGATGGGTGGTGTTTCTGTAGGGTTGGCTACATTTTGGCTGGGATGGTAGAAATTAAGGCTGTTGTAGCAGTCATAGCACACTGCGATTTGAAATGGACGTACTTACTTTTCTACACTGCTTACGCCAGACCATTTTTACTCAGTGGCGCCGGCCGACGGGTAGTTTAATGACAACAAATGCATTATTCTCCAATCAAATTAGTTTTATTACGTGCTAAATGACCGTATGTTTATGAGATTTGACGTCACGAAGGCGATAACGACGAATCTAAGCGCCAATGATGAGTAACATGTTTCACTATTAGATTTTAGTATTTTTTAGCAATTTTCTTTAAAGTTGGAACACGCTTTTCTCAATAATTACTAGACACAAAAAGGTGACAAAAAATCAACGATTACAGAAAAAAAAACTCTTTCAAGTGATGGGCGTAAAAAGTTTGGTTATAATAGAACGTTAAACAGTATAATCAAATTTTTTAACTGAAGTTTCAAAAAAATAAAAAAAGTAAAACCATCATTTTAAAGGCAACATAATTTCGAATAACGTGTCCAAATTTCGAGACATTTTGTCGGTAAATAACAGAGAAAACACTATCCCTAGGTTTTGGTGCACCGATAAAACAGCCTTAACGTAGTGAAATACTGTTATGGTTCATGCTGCAACATGTACTATTCCAAATAAACAGTTTTTCAAAAAAAAACCACAGAGAAGATGGACATGGCAAAGTCCTAATGGAAAAACTCAAAACGAAATATATTTTATTATCTCGGACCAAAAACACACCGGTATAGACATCACGAATCTAAACAGATTTGTTACTAGTAGCGATCATAGAATGGTACTAGATAAAATAAAAATAAGTTTAAAGAAGGATTGGTATAAGATGATTAAAAAGAAAAACAAATCAAATCATGGATGAAACCATCAGATGTAGATAGTTTTCTGCAATGTATTTCGGACATACAAACTGAATTCCTGAAACAGAAAATAATATATTTCGAATCTTCTAGATACATTTTCGAGTTTCTCATCGTTTTGTCTAGCTGTTTCTTTAAGAATTTGAGACGTTTCGTCGAGTCTTTCATTAGTTTTTTTTAGAAGATTCTTCAATCATTTGCGACACATTTTTTATTTTCGTTAAAACTGCTTCTTCTGCTGACTGGAACTGGAATGTCTTTGGGTCTTCTCCATTCTTGTTGAGAACAATCTTCAGTCGTTCTTGGAGTATCTTCTTAGACCTGCTGCAGTCTTCATCGCGTTCTTTTAGTTACTCACGCAACTGTTTTACTGAAAGTTCTACTAGCAGCATATATGGTCAGGTACACACGTACTTTTTTAAATGTTCTTTCGCACAAAGTTTACTACTGAACTACGCGGATATTCCCGATGAACAATACTTTTCAAAAGTTCAAAAGTCTTTTTCAAAAAATCACTGCTGAATTTATTTTCAAATCTCACACCGGACACCAACTGTAGCGAGATTAAATAAAACGAGCGGTTCGAATTTATATAAATATATTTATTTATAACTTTGCAGTTCGGTACAATCTTATTAACTAAAACTTACTCCTAACATCGTTACATATATATACCCAAGTTACTATGTTCTAGAACATTCCCACCTCTAATTCGCCTACGTGGTGGATTTTTCTCTCTCGCACTCGATACATCGCGAAGTTTCTCGGCGCCTTTTCGAGATGCAACCGTTGCGTAGGCCATGCCGAAAGCATGTTCGTAATAATATAAAACCGAATATATGCCGACTTTACATATTTATAACCGTTAAAATTTGTTTCTATTTTTATGTTTTAATATATTTCTAAAAAAATTGTACGTTACTTTACATTATTAGACAAAATATTAGAGAAAAACATTTGTAATTAATTTTAAAATATTTACATTAAAATAGTAATATTTGATCACCCTGTATGCTATATTACCCTGTATATTAATCCATGTTTATTGATTAGTAGTTAGTAGATAATATACTTATATTGTTTAAAAAAATATACTTCCTTTGTTTCTTACAATTGCTCAAAAATCTAGCTGTTGCTATATCTATCTATGTACTGCCCAACCAATTTCTAAAAATGTTGCAGTGGCATACTCGTACTTGTATGTAAAAGTTAAGAATGAAACTTTACAAACTTTAGATTTTACTACCCTATAAAACTTATATTTTTTTTAAATCCGTACCTGCAGTACATAAAGTGTCAGCTGGGTATGTTGAACTTGTAGTGCTTATGGTCGCATTGGAACGAGACCGAGACCAAGAAGACAATGGTAAGACGGCCATGTTGACTACTCAAGAAGCCATGTTTTATCCCTAGGCAAGTCGAGTCGTACGCCTACGAAAGAGTACTTGATCATAAGAACATTTTACCGGCTTTACTGGAGTAAAATCCGGTATATTCCACGCTGGACCTCGAATCGATTGATCAACAATTTTCATCTTGTTCAGAACACGAAGTTTTGCCCCCAGGCAAGAACGAGAATTGAAAGAAGGACGGAGAAAACGAAGAAATGGTCGACATCAAAAGATGTTGTGTATACGAGGTGAGTTATGGGTGAAATCCTAACTTATTAAAACCTTTTACTTTATATAAAGCCTAATACAGTTCGTAAATAAACTTTATCATCAAGTTTATTCATTACATAAAATTTATAACATGTTTAAAATTAACGTCTATAATTTTGCAATTACATGTGATAAGGTTTTATCGTAAATACAAAATAATGAATGTAACATTTTTTCATTATTTTTTCCAATTATTCTTATTAAAAGTGTTGACCAAAATGTAAATAATCTATCTATATAAAAGGCTAGGACGACAAGTCACACTGTTTGTCCGGTAGGTTAACTACGCCATTTAGGAAAGACATCAGAACAACCTACCAATATCTGGCATTTCAATCATATTTTGTTCTTAAAACTATGCAGTTGATTTATTGCTAATTCATTCAACAAATTGATGATTTTTTTTTATTTTTTTTTATTCAGTTTAATGCGTCGACAACTAATGGTCATTGGCATGGTACAGTGAATTTTTACAGTCAGGTGTGTAGTGTGTGTGTGTGTGTGTGTGTGTGTGTGTGTGTGTGTGTGTGTGTGTGTAGAGTAAATGTCTTGATACTTAGCAAAGTCGACGTCATTGTCTTTGCTAAGAGACGCTAATTGTATCCGAACGTCTGCGGTCCCTCCGGTGAAATTGATGATTTAAATATCCTTACTCAGAAATTTTTCTACTTCATGAGTAATTGAAGGGTCTCGGGAGAAAATCATGAAATTCACAAAATATTTTATGGAAAAAATGAATAAAAATGAATGAATTTTACAGTTAAATACAGTGTAGAAGCTAAAATATGTGCCCGATATATTATATTCCAAATTTTTATCATTAACATTTACTACTAAAAACTAAACCAATGAAACAAACAGTTTTTCTAAAAAATAGGAAAACATCAGTCAGTGTCAATCTTTTATGAAAGAAAATTTTGAAAATCCAGGTGCGTTTCTTTTCTGAGCCAAACGTTTCTTCATTATAACAGGCTCCAATTTCCCAAGATTTGAATTATTGACAGTTCCTTTGTTGTTTTTTATTATCTTCATTTCATGAGGTATACTTATGTACATTTCTTTTGCTTGTTCGGATTCGCAAAACTTTGACAAAAACATTATGTCTTTAAAGTTGTCTTCGTTAATAGTAATAAAGTTGAAGTACGATTGAATGGGTAGTTCAAATTCCGAAGGTGATAATTTATGCGACTTTTTAGCTTCTATGTACTTCTTCGTAATGTTTTTTCTCGTCCTCAGGATTAGCAGTTGACCTTGGCTGAACTCTGACCCTGCACATATAGGCTGCATCATGATATATTGTATCATGTACATTTTGGCCGTAGATCGCCGCCTCTGTACGTTAACTAATGATATAAGAGACCACAAATACGCATTTTGTTCATTATGAGATATCAATGAATTAAAATGATTTAAAATTCTTCGACCTCTGTTTCGGTAGGCATCATCTCTTGGTCTCCATTCCAGTATCCGCTTTGTCCATCTATTATTTGTCATTCGAGCCACGAGACCTGCCCAGTTCCATTTCTGTGTTGCTACTCTCTCTACTGCATCAGCCACTCCTGTTCTTTGTCGTAGCTGGCGATTTGGGATCTTGTCTCGTAGTGAAACAACCAACATAGCACGTTCCATCGCCATTTGACACACACGGATCTTTTGAACTGTTCTTCTTGTCATGATCAAGGTTTCTGCACCGTAAGTCAACACTGGCAAAACACACTGATTAAAGGTTTTTCTTTTAAAACATATTGGTATATCAGACGATTTGAAAATATGGTTCAGCTTGCCGAAGGCTGCCAAGTCAGTCTTATATGACGGAGAAGCTCAACGGTTTGGTTATCTTTTCCTATGCGGATCTCATGACCTAGGTATTTATAGGCCATTACCTGGTCTATAAATCTTGTTTCTACGCATATATCTTCGCTGACTACAAGATTTTCATCATCTGGGTTTTAGATACATTTATTTTCAATCCCCCTTGTAGCGAGGAAAGGTAGAGCTGATTTAAAAGTTCTTTGGCCTCATCTATCCTATCAGCTATTAGTACAATATCATCTGCAAACCTTAGATGACTAAGCTTTTCTCCGTTTATGTTTATGCCCTTGTCGGTCAGTTTTGCCCTTTTACATATATATTCCAAAAGCTTAGTGAACAGTTTCGGCGATATGGTGTCCCCCTGGCGTAATCCACGTTGTATCAGGAATTTCTGAGTTTGACGATCAACCACTCTAACACTGGCTGTTGCGTTTTGGTATATGTGTTTAATTATATTTATATACCGATAGTCAATTCGGCATTCTGTCAAGGCTTCCAACATTTTTTGTTGATTTACGGTGTCGAATGCCTTTTCATAGTCGACAAATATTAAAGCTAGTGGTTTATTATATTCAGTGCATTTTTCTATAAGATTTTTTATTACCAGTACGTGATCGTTTGTTCCATAGCCTTTTCTAAAACCCGCCTGTTCTATGGGTTGATAAAACTCCAATTTATTTTCTAGTCGTTTCTAAAATATCGTAAATATCATATTCGCTAACATATCCGTAATGGGTCAAATTATCAAATGAATACATGATTTTAAAGAAAGTCTAAATAAACCGATGGTCTATTATCTATTTTCTCTTGTCTAAAAGTCTATTGTTTTTTTATATATAAAATATTTTCTTTAAACTTCCGTGGAATATATCTTGCTTTAAGCACTCAATTATCAAATACATCCGTCTCCATTCAGCAAATATCTAGCCCTAGCAACTCTTAACCCTTTACCGCATCATGTGCCATAAATGGCACAAACCAAAAATTTTTTTTTAATGTTTTAACACAATTTTTGTCGTAGCTGCATGGCAGCCCATATCTGACACGTACTAATAGTGTACGCGAGATATGCGGCATAGTTCTGACGGCGAGATATGCAGCCGTACGCAGTATCAAGTTCATTCTTGTTCAACTTCTGAAATACGTGAAACAGTGCTCGAAGTTAGAGGTTATTTTTCATAGTAAAAACGTTTTTTACGGCGAGTAAAAATTGAAATCTATTGTGTTGTGATATTAGATCTGCTTAGGTAAGTACTAAAAATTAAGAATGTTGCAAATCTCTCGAAAACCCCAAAAAGGGTTTGTGCTATATATGGCATACTATGAAGTTATGGACTCATTGATTGTTTTTGTAGATATGGATCTTTTATGGTACAATGAATGCAGTTAGAATTCCAAATAGCACTAATAGTGAAGAATCAGATCTCTCCGATGAAGACGGCACAAATGAGATGATACTGTGTCAAGATAGTGACAATGAGGAGCGTATTAATTTACCAAGCAATGTCAACGAAACTGTCATTTCTGCCACATCCTCAGATTCCTCAGATGATAGTACCTGTTTGCCTGAAAGACTACGATATAAAAGGAAGATATCTCATAATTGGGTGAAAGGAAATCTGAGAAGATAAGAAAATGATACAAAATTTACTGGTTCTGAAAATTTACCTTCTTCGATTTTACAATTAGAAACTCCGGTCCAATTTTTTAAGTTTCTCTTTCCTGATAGTCTTATATAGCATATCACAGACCAATCAAATTTATAGAACAATTTATAGGAATTACTATTTACGTGTCGATAATTCAACTTCCATCAAGAAGATACTATTGGAATGAAAATATTGGTCACTGAACACTGATGTGATGAGTTGTAAAAAATTCGAAGAAATAAAACGTTTCTTGCATTTCAATAACAATGATGACATGATTGAAAATAAGCAGCCTGGACATGACACATTATACAAAATTAGACCTGTTCTGAGCCAAATCAAAGAACGACTACTCATGGTTCCGAAAGAAGAATTTCTAGGTGTAGACAAACAGATTGTACCAACAAAAGCGCGAAGCCAGTTAAAGCAGTATAACCCAAAAAAAAACACATAAGTGGAGCTTCAAAAACTTTGTGCTGAGTGGTATTTCGGGATTCAGCTATGACTTTAATTTGTTTGCTGGTTCCCAGAGTAACATTGTACCTATAGGAGCACCAAATCTTAGTATGAACAGCAACGTGGTTGTCAAATTAGCAAATTCGATACCCAAACATCAACATTCATCATCATTAGCCATTTTGCGTCCACTGCTGAACATAGGCCTCCCGTAAATAATTCCATTGCATCCGATCTTGAGCAACTTGAATCCAGTTAGACTGGATGCGCTTTAAATCGTCCGACCACCTTGTTGGAGGACGTCCTCGACTACGATAAGCATCGTGTCTAGGCCTCCACTCTAAAATTTTCTTTGTCCATCTTCCATCTCTGACCCTAGCAACATGTCCTGCCCAGTTCCATTTCAGGGTTGTAATTCTTTCAACTGCGTCCGTCACACCAGTTTTTCTCCTTACTATCTGACTCGAAACTCTATCCCTGAGTGATACGCCCAACATTGACCTCTCCATCGCTCTCTGTGCCACTTGTATCTTATTAATTACTTTTCTGGTAAGTGTCAATGTTTCTGCTCCATATGTCAGAACTGGAAGTACACACTGATCAAAAACTTTTCTCTTCAAGCACATGGGAATAGCTGATTTAAAGACTTCCCTCAGTTTTCCGTAAGCTGCCCATGCCAGTCCTATTCTCCTTTTTAACTCTGTTGTTTGATTGTCTCTTCCCAATTTAATCTCGTGGCCCAGATACTTATAGGAATACACTTGTTCAATTTGCGTGCCATTAGTGGAAATGTTTTTTGCCAGTACCAGGTTGGTCATGTATTGTGTTTTGGAAAAATTAATTTTAAGGCCAACTCGTGCACAAGAGCTCTGAAGGTCTTGAAGAAGTTGGCATGCATGATCTACCTGATCTGCAATAAGGACTATGTCGTCTGCAAACCTCAAGTTGTTCAAAAATTCCCCATTTATATTTAATCCAATATTTTCCCAATTATTTTTTCTCATAGCACTCTGTAATAGGGCGGTGAATAGTTTAGGAGAGATAGTGTCTCCTTGCCTAATACCTTTCTCCAAGGGAAATGTGTCTGTGTCACCATAGTACATTTTTACAGCAGCTGTTGCGCTATCATATATATTTCGAAGAAGAGTTGTGTACCTATGGTCAATACTGCACTCTGTAAGAGCTCTTAACATGGAGCTATGCTGGACTGAGTCAAATGCTTTCTCAAAGTCTACAAATATTAATATCAATGGCTTGTTGTATTCTATAACTTTCTCTATCAAGGATTTTATTACTTGTAGGTGGTCATTTGTTCCAAAGCCACTCCTAAATCCGGCCTGCTCTAGAGGTTGATGAAAATCTAGCTTAGGTCCCAGTCTGTTAGTAATTATTCTCATAAAGAGTTTATATAAATGAGATAATAAGTTGATAGGTCTGTAGTTGCCAATGTCTGTTACATCTCCTTTTTTATGCAATATTATCATAATGGCATTATTCCATTTTTCTGGCGTATTTCCTTCAAAGAGGCAGGCATTATAAAGGGTTTTTAAAGCCTTAATGACGCATTCGCCTCCTAGTTTTATCATTTCACTTACAATGCCATCTTCTCCAGGTGTTTTGTTGTTCTTCATACCTTTTAATGCTGACTTAATTTCCTCTTCGGTTATATCTGGAAGTTCCTCTGACCCTTGATTTAGTATTGCTGGAATTTCTACTTCGGGAATGTGATCATCTCGACTATATAATGTTCTATAGTACTCTTCGATGATTTTTAGTATCTCTTGTTGTTCATGTATGACATGTCCTTGATTATTTTTTAACTTATAAATATTCCTCGTTCCTATTTTCAACTTTCGTTTTAGAACTTTTAGGCTTTTGTTTTGTTCTACGGTATCAGTTATTTCCTTAGTGTTAAAGTTCCTTATGTCTTTCCTAATGGCTTTTGAAATGGTTTTGTTTAAATTCCTTAGCTCTGCAATGTTCGTTGTATGCTTTTCTTTCATTTCCCTTCTTTTTTGCATTAAGTTTCTTGTGTCTTCTGTGAGTTTTTCATTTTTTGTTGAGTGCTTGGCTTGGCACTTCTTCTGTGACTTCTTCAGGGCTTCTACCAATTTTTCGTTAAGCTGTTCAATACTGGTTTCATCTTGCAGGTCTTTCTGTAGATTACTCTCTATTTCTTCCTGGTATGCCCTGGTGTTAGTAATCGCAGTGAATGTAACATTATTAGTCCTTGTTACCATATGTCTTCTTTCCTTCTGTATGTTTAAGACTATCTTCGCCCTAACCATTCTATGGTCACTTCCAGTTGAAAATTGATTTAATACAGTTACGTCTTGAACAGCGTCTTTTTTGTTAGTAAATATAAAATCAATTTCGTTCTTGTTTAAACCATTTGGTGATTGCCAAGTCCACTTTCTTTGGTCGCTTTTTTTAAAGTGCGTATTCATGGCATATAGCCTGTGTTGCAGAAGAAATTCTATGAGAGTTTGGCCCCTTTCGTTTCTATCGCCATATCCGTGAGGTCCAATTACAAACTCCGAATCATCTTGCTTGTGGCCTATTTTGGCGTTTAGGTCTCCCATCAGTATAGTAAAGTTGGTGTTTGTCTCTTGTATGGCAGTGTTAACGTCATCATAGAACCATTCTACTTCTTCATCTGTATGGGTACTAGTTGGTGCATATACCTGGATGATCTTTAATCGAATTTTTTCGTTTACTTTGTAGATAAGATATATAACTCTATCACTTATGCTTTTAATTGTGAGTATATTCTTTGTGTGTTTTTTATTTACCATAAATCCTACGCCACCATTGGAAGACTCTCCTCGATAATGCAATAGGTTTCCCGACGGAAGTACCATTTGTTCTTCACCCTTTCGCCGTACTTCGGACAATCCAAGTATATCCCATTTTATATGATTTAGCTCGTTTTCCAGTTCACTAGTTTTTCGTCCTCCATCAATGTTCTTGTGTTGTATGTTGCCATAAACCATATTCTTTGCCGTTGTCGTTTATGAAGGTAGCTGGTTGACTCCGGTGATTCTTAGCACCCTCTGTCCCTCTAACTACAGGACTGCTACCATAGCCTGTTTTCAAGGGACTGCCGGAGACTGAGGGCCTTGCATTTTCTTCCTTTCTCATTTTACGGGGTTCCTGGCCGTTTCTCTACCACGCTGGCCTGTGCGGGTTGGTAGAAGGATTGTAGGATGGGCTAGGGAATTTGGCGTCATCGACAAGGATGATAGGTTGGGACGTGGTACCCTCTCGGTTAAAGGGATTGAGAGTGAGCCACGGCTCGCATAGGCAGGGTCGCGATCCTGAAGTAGACCTAACTTTACCGGGATCGTAAAATGTATCTACCTGCTACCTAAACATCAACATTACAAGTTGTTTTTTGACAATTGGTTCACCTGCATACCTCTTATGATATATCTGACCAAAGAGGGCATTTTACCTTTGGGAACAGTAAGACTTAATCGTGTTCCTGGAGTTGTGATGCCAGCTGAGAAAGAAATGAAGAAGCGCGGCGAGGTCATATGGTAGAGAAAATAGCCAATATAGACAATGTGAATATCAGTGTAGTGTCCTGGTTTAATAATAAACTCGTCAACATATGCTTGAAGTGAACCAAAGGGAGGAAAAAGAAGATTTTTCAAACAAGAAAGTATACATAAAATGATTCATTGTCTTAACAGTGCCCTAATCTTTAAACAATTTTTAAACAATTGTTAATAAACAATTGTTAATAAACAATTGTTAATAAATCATACAAAAGTTTATCGATCTTCTTTGACTGTCTAAAAATCCAATTTGGTAATTAGTTAAAAAAATTTGTTTTTGTATTTTTCCAGTCAAAATTACTAGATACCTGTGTATTATTGGAAATACAAAAAGTGTTTTATACACCATTACATATATATCCTTTATATCAAAATTGCACGAAACTCTCTTCATTTACTTCTGGTTTTAATTCCACCTTTTTTATGACTCAGTGATGTGTTAAATCCGCCCACAACTATCAAAACACGATCGATATATTGGATTCAATCGATGTGGAGGATTAAGCTGTTTTTTTGAGTACCTACACTTGCTCAGACATCAATACGTCACGCTAAACAATCCGTGAAATTTGCGATCGAGATAACCGTGAAATTCTATTATAGAAAAAAAATCGATACACAGTTCTACAATATCATTGTTCAAGAAAGAAGAAATACCATGTGTTGCACATTCTAACGTCAATAATATACAATGAAATATAAATTTCGTAACTTAGAATATACTCAACTTTCCATATCTAAAATCCCTACGCATGTTTTACTGCTTCCCACGATGAGTAAATATTAAAGATAAAAAGAGTAAAAAACCACGTAAACTGTCATTCACTGTGCTCTTTGTATTTTGATGTTTGATAAAGAGAGGAACGAATTGAGCAAGAATTTTTGATGAATTGTTCAATCAATGTTTCGATATTTTTTATCCGAATTGAAACGGGATCTTTATTTGTAGAAAGGATTTTTACTCTTG